CTCCCTCCCTCCATCCATTATCTATCTATCTATCTGTCTGTCTGTCTGTCTGTCTGTCTGTCCGTCCGTCCGTCCGTCCGTCCGTCCGTCCATCCATCCATCCATCCATCCGTCCATCCATCCGTCCATCTATCTACCTATCTATCTATCTACATTTTTAAACCTCTGTATTGGAAGTAAGTAGGCCATCCTTTGTGGAGTTTAGCTTTAGTACCAGTTGAGTTGTTAGTAGCTGAAAATAGAAAAGAGGCAGATGGTGTTGGGTCATACATTTATAATACCAATTAGAGTGTTTGTTAGCCAGTCTTCAGACTCTTCCAAAAAAGTAAAGAATACTGTCAGATTCATTTCATGAAGCCAGAATTACCCTGATACCAAGGCCAGATAGGGACACTACAAGAAAACTACAGAACAATGTCCCTGATGAATTTAAATGCAAACATCCTCAACAAAATATTAGCAAACCTAATTCAACAGCACATTAAAAGAATCTTAACACCATGATCAAGTGGGACTCATTCCTGGGATGCTGGGATGGTTCAATATATGCAAATCAACAGATGTGATATACCATGTTAATAGAATGAAGAATAAAAGTCACATGATCATCTCAATAGATGCAGAAAAAGCATCTGACAAAATCCAACATTTATTCATGATAAAAACTCCAGAAATTGGATATATAAGGAACATATCTCAACATAATAAACACTATATATGAAAAGCTCACAACTCATGACATACTCAGTGGTGAATGATGGAAAGATTTTCCTCTAAGATCAGGAACAACACAAGCATGCCTGCTGTTACCACTCTTTAACACAGTACTAGTAGTCCCAGCCAGAGCAGTCAGGCAAGAAAAATTTAAAACATTCAAATTGGAAGGAAAGAAGTAAAATTATCTCTGTTTGCACATGACATGATTTTATACATAAAAAATCCTAAAGACATCATGTAAAAACTACTAGATCTAATTAATGAATTCAGTAAAGTTGTAAGATACAAAGTCAACATGCAAAAATCAGTAGTATTCCTATATTCCTACAATGAATTATCTGTAAAAAAGAAATAAAAGCAATCACATTTACAGTGGCACCAAAAACAATAAAGTAGTTAGGAATAAATTTAAGGAGGTGAAAATCTGTATACTGAATACTGTAATACATTGATGAAAGAAATTGAAGAAGGCCAATAAATGAAATATATCTTATTTTTATGGATTTAAAGTTAATATTGTTAATATGTTTATACTCCCGAAAGCCACCTATAGATTCAGTGCAATTTATATTAAGATTTCAGTGGCATTTTTCACAGAAATAGAAAAAGTCTCCTAAAATTTGTTTAGAACCACACTATTTATGGGACCGTAAATTGGTTTAGCCAGCGTGGAAAACAGTTCTTCAAGAAATTAAAAATAGCACTACCATTTTTAAGTGTACAGTTCAGTGGCAATAAGTACATTCACATGGTACCACCACCACCGCCATCCTTCTGCAGAAGTTTTTTTTATGTTACAGAACTGAAACTCTGTACCTATTAAATAACCCTTTATTCCCCCTTTCTCTAAGCCCCTGGAAACCACCAGTTTGCTTTCTGTTTCTATGAATTTAACTATTCTAGGTACCTCATATAAGTAGAATAATACCATATTTGTTCTTTTGTGACTGACTTACTTAGCATAATATCTCCAAGTTTATCCATGTTATAGTATATGTCAGAATTTTTTTCCTTTTTAGGGCCAAACTGTATGTTCCTCATATTACTTTTTTTTTTTTTTTAAGTGAAAGAACTTCAGCTATTGTTTAACATTTGTCTCTGTTTCTCTTTGATCTATGTTGTCTCCCTTTTCCTTTTATCGTAAGCTTTGTGATACTAGCTTCCTTATGTTTTTCTCTTCATTCTAGTTCTTCTGTCAAGTGCTCTGTGAAGCTTTTCTTGGTCCTTACTCTTCTGCATTACTCTCTGAAGAGTTAGACTATTTTTTGTCTCTAATATAGCATATTATAAGTTAAATTTCATATATATTTCCCTTAACTACATTTTGGCTATAATAACAACTTTCCTGTTACTTTTTATTCTAAGAATAGTCTCATTTTTGGTAATTAAATCTTCATCGTATGCACTTTTAAAACTTTTTAAAATTCACTCTACTTGCAAGGATTTCATATGAGGGGTGAGCGTATTCTGACTCTTCAGAATACTTTTCCTTTTTTCCAAGAGCTGAGAACAGAGAGGGAGGAAAGGAAGAAAGGCAAACATATTATTAAACTGGGTGAAGTTGTCATCTCCTTTTAGGTTGTGCCTGCCTCTGGCTAACACTGACTGTTCAACATGCTCTGTTGTCAGGCATTAAATGCTGGCCCATTGCCACATGTAGATTCTTCCTGGCCCAACCTATTGGCAGCTTTCTGAACTTAGAACACATAGTAATTAGCATCTTTTGTGCTTAGTTTAGGCCTTGTGTACAATTCCAGGACTACAGGAAACTCCTGTTAAGTGATCTGTGAAATTTATTTTAAAGTCAGTGTTCCACAGTTCAATAGGAAAATAACCAGTCTTCCAGAAGAGGATATTAAGTCACGCAAATATTACAGAGTACTTCTTCAGTATAGTTTTCATACCTATAATGTTAATTCTATATCCTAAATCAGCCTCTAGGAAATTTGGTCCCAGCATGTCATTCTAGAGCTGTGCCAAATGTACTATTTAAATGTATATTAACTTACATTTAAATTAATGAAACATAAGTAAAATTAAAAATCAGTTTCCGCATCATACTAGCCACATTTTAAGCACTTAGTTAGCCACATGTGGTAACAGCTACTGAATTGGATAGCATAGAACATTACCATCATCAAAAAAAGTTCTGTTAGACACTATTTCTCTACAGGATGGAGGTGAGAGTTTTTGTTCTCTAGAGGGTAGGCGTGAGAATATTTTTGTTACTATAGGAAATTTAGATACATAGTCAATCATATATACCAACTGGTTACTTTATTTCACAGGTTTTTTTTTTTCCTTGCTGAAATGAGGGAAGTTTGTGAAAGGGAGAAAAGTAAGCATACTCCTGTGCCATATACTGCTTTCACATTTATCTGATATTTAACTTTTCATGTGGAAGTGTCAAATAAAAGCCATTGCAAACATAGTCGGCAGCAGGATTCAAAGTTCAGACATTTCCACCCACTAGAAACAAACTCCTTAGTTCATCCTTCATGTAACTATTCAGTCCTCAGGCAAAGGCTGGCACAACTGCAGTCCTAAGACAAGGTAATACTGGGGTAAGTAGAAAGGCAAATATTTGTATATATGTATTTGTGTGCGTGTTTTTAGGTTTTAGGAGAAGTGACTTGACTTTTAGAAAAATAAATTATTTTGTTTTTACCAAGCCCTTAGATGTCATCTAACTGAATGCCTGCCCACATTTTACATATGAGTAAACTGAGGCTAGAGAAAGGGGTTGCCCAAGATTATATCAATAGGTAACGGTAAATCTGGAACTAAAACTCGTGTTTCATAACATGTAAATCATTGGGCATTTTGCTAAATCATTTACTGTTCCATTTTAATTCTTTATTCACAACTAAGTATTGCTGCAGATACAATGACAAGAGTTTAGAGGTAAAAATAATTATAATGAATTTATTATTTTTAAATTGTTGCTTTTCCTATGTTTTAAAATTTTGGTAATTGTAACTTTTGTAGATTGAAGAAGAAGAGAGGAAAAAAATAGAAGATATGAAAGAAAATGAACGGATAAAAGCAACTAAAGAATTGGAAGTCTGGAAAGAACATCAGAGGAAAGCTGAAGAACAAAAAAGAATTCAGAGAAAAGAGAAATTACATCAACAAGAGAAGCAAATTGAAGAGGGAAAAAAATTAAAACATAAAAGCCTTATTAGAAATTCAGCATCTAGAAATCTTGCCACAAAAGGTAAAACGATTAATATTTTCTGGGAAAGTGAATCCTGTTGGTAAAGTATATATGTCTCTTTTTTGTTTTTGTAATGATTTTACAATATTAAGTCATTTTCTTGGTATATCGAGAGTAAGTACTACAATACAAAGACTAAGGTGAAAGACTTCTAGGAAGTAGTGAGGTTTTCATGATAAAATGAGCCAGGATTCAGTGTTGTTTTTGCTTGTATGCTTCCTTTTGAAATTTATGTGTGTTGTTAAATATGTGTTTAATTCAGATCCAAAAAGACTTGGAATGACTAGCAGTGCCAGGAGCATTCCATTTCTTTAGAGATAAGAAACTAGGGATTTTATTAAAAGACTTTTTCCTTGCGTGACTCAGGAAAATGAATTCTATTAAGCAAACTTAGTCTTAAGCAAACAGGGATTCTTCTGGCCTTTGATCTTGATGTGTTCAAAAATAGTTAAAAGAACATACTTCTTTACTGAAGGCTTAGCATATTAAACTTTGTTTTGTGTATATTTAGTAAATAGAACATTTTGTGGTCAAATCGCTTGTGTAATAATAATTAACATTTTTTGGTGATCACTGTATGCCAGGTGATTTTATTAGTTGTATCACTCACTCTTTAGAACAACACTTTGGGAAAAGTGTTGCTATTCTTATTTTAGAGGGAAAAAGATGTTCAGAAAAGAGAAACAAATAGTCAATAGGTAAGCCTATGGGATTTGAACCCAGATCTGTTGGTATCTGAAACCTATGCTCTTTATTCTCAGCTATAGGTCTTTTACTACTTAACAGTGAGGCCTAGCATATTGAAGTCATTTAGAGTGACTATTAAGCAGTAACTATTGATATGTTTTATTGGGGTTTAGTATGGACATTCTAGTTAACTACCACACTACTTCCTTCTTAATGTCATTTCAACAAAATAGTGATACCAACTAGAGTATATGAAATCATTTCCTTCCATATTTCAAATACTGCTAAACAAATTGGATGTTTTCAAATACTGTTGGAACTGAAACACACTTTTATAGATAAGAAGTATCCTGAGGATCTTCATCATGTTGATTTTTATACAGTTTAATTCAATTTGCTAATATTTTATGAATGATTTTTATATTTATCTTCATATTGAGATTCCCTTACATTTTTCCTTCCCTATACTGTCCCTGCCCACATTTGATAACAAATTTCATTAACCCTATAAGTTATGGAGCTTTTTTCTTTTTTCGTTCTTCGAAGCAATTTGGTTATATATGAAATATTGTTGGTTGAAGGTTTAGTAAAATTGCTCCCAACACTGTCTAGGTATGGGCTATTTATGGAAATATATTTAGTTTTTCTAATGGTTACTGTTATTTAGGTTTTCTATTTTTTCAAATCAGTTTTAGTCATTTGTTTTCTAGAAAATTGTACATATTATCTTTTCAGTTTATTGGCATAAAGTTTCTTTTACTTATCTCTACTCTGTCTATAATTATATCATTTCTTTATTCCTAGTACTCTTATTTTTCTTTGATCAACTATTGCAAAATTTTGCAAATTTTATTAGTCTGTTCAAAAAAGCAATGTTTGTTTTTGTTGATCCTTTTTTATTGTTTCTTTTTTTCCTATTCTCTTAATTCCTATGTTCGTTTTTATTTTGCTTCTTTTAGTTTTTGAGGGTTTTCTCTGTTTTTGTCCAACTTGTTTTCATTAATTTTTTAATCTTTTAATACATGCATATATTATAATTTTTTCTTTTAAGTTTTATGTTAATACATTCTCCAAGCCTTGAAATTTGTTTCATTGTCATTTACTTGCAAATATTGTGTGGCCTATCATGATTCTTTTTTCTTTTTCTTTTTTGGCCTTGAATTATTATAGAGATTTTTCTAAATTTTCAAATATATGGAGTTATTAGTATAATAATCTGAAGTTATATACTTCATTTTTATTTTTTATTCAACTTTAGCCAGAGGGAAGGGGAAGAGGAAGTTCGCAGCAAGTAGATTTACCTGTAAGATGGTGATCCATAAGTGATGTACATCACTTCTGTTCACATTCTGTTGTCTCAGGTTTGGCACATAACCACGCCTAATCTTAAAGGAGGCTGGATCATGTAGAGACTAGCCTGGCATAGTCATGTTCCTAGTTCAGATCTCAAATTCTGTTACTAAAAGAAAGAGGGGAGAGTGGCTAGGAAGATAGCAGCCTCAACCAGAGGCATCTATAGAAAATTTTTGCTCAAATTTTTGTTGATGTTGCTTTCTCTTTGAGTCCTTATTCTTTCCTCTCTGCCCCCTGCCCCCAAATGTCAATTCAGGCCATTTTCAGATGTTTATATTTTGAATTTTGTTTCTTATTTGTGTGTGTTCATTTTCTATCAAGGATATTAACTCTGTCATATTTGTGGAAAGTCTTTTTTATATCAATTTTTATGTCTGCCTTTTAAATCTGCATATCATACCTTTGGTACTTTTACATTTTTTTAGTAACTTTTCTCCTCTCATATCATCTTAACAATCATTATACTTAACTTCCTTCATAAAAACATATAGTTTTTCATTATTACAGTTTGTCCTCGTTAGCTCTCTCTAGTGGCTGAAAAACTTTTATACCATCTCAAGGAAGCTTATAGACATTATTGCTATAGGAGCTTAAAGATAGAGGTGGTGTTGGCAGTGATGGCTTTGTCTAGGTGCCCTCCCTTAGAGTGAATGTAAATTAGAGACTGTGTGGTTTATCAAAGAGAACCCTAGAAAAGTAGCTGTTCATTGATTAAAGAACAGAGAATTAGCTGCCATATTTTCATTTCTTCTTGCAGAAAGCGTCTTTGATTTATTTGTATAGAATTTTAGAAGTAGCTTTGACTATAATTACTTTAAAAGTCAGTTTGATTGTTAATTAGAAAATGAGAGAGAAACGATTTACTAATATGGTTTTTGAAGGAGGAAATTCAGAAGATATATTTTTCGAGAAGTTAAAGGACGACAGTATTCCTGCTCCTCGCTCAGTTGGCAGTATTAAAATCAACTTTACCCCTCGAGTATTCCCAACTGCTCTCCGGGAATCACAAGTAGCAGAAGAAGAGGAGGTAGGTACTCTTGCTGTTAGTTACAGTGACCACAATGAAGATACTTTATTTTTCATTTCATCTATTGAAAACAAGTACTGGCTCTGAATTTCTTAAGTATTCATTATAGTGAAGTTACTACTTCTTGAATATATTTTAGTATTTCCTTATGAGAAAAATATATTTTTCAGGATTTTTTTTGGTTCCAGAATGCTGATGAGAGAACACTGATTTAATATACAATAGGGCTGCTTATTCCAGGAGACAAACTCTTGCACATGCCATTTGTTTTATCAAGTACATCATTTCCTATAAAAGATTTGTAAACTTTGGATCAGTATGTGTTGTGGTAAAAACAGACTTGGAAGTTTATTATTAATATATTATTATAATTATTATGAATATCAGGTATTTCTAATGTTTGAAGTTTTAGAATTAATATCTTTCATTTGTAAATTCCTGAGCTCTGGGATTTTGAATATTTTATCTTTAGTTTCATAAGCACTAAGAACTGCTTTCCTGTAAGGTGTGAACTGAAACCTCTCTCAATGGAAAAGTTGTAGAAAAAATTGAAGATCCTGAAGGCATAATGACAATCAGAAAACATTAACTTTTTTCTTATTAAATGATATTTACTTTGATATTTTATTTACGTATTTTATGTCATTATTATAAAAGTATTTTTATAATTATAAAATTATAATTATTACAAATTTTGTTTTCATATAGAAAAATAAAAATATAAACAAGACAAGTGAAATACATATACTCCCAAATTTTGATGAAATTTAGATTAGAAACTTTTATACATTTGATCTTAACCAGCTAGTAAATAAAAAAATTTTTTTTTTAATGTATAAAAACTGGAAGTTTAAAATCATCATCTTCAAATACCGTGTTAGTCTGTTCAGGCTACTGTAACAAAACACCATACGTGGGGTGGCTTAAACAACAGACATTTATTTTTCACAGTTCTGGAGGCTGGCAAGTCCAGCATCAGGGTGCTGGATTGGAGGGTAGAGGGAAGAGTGTGTACTCTGGTCTCTTCTTCTTCTTATAAGGACACTAATCCTATAATGGGGGTTCCACCTTCATGACCTTCTCCGAACCTAATTTCTTTTCAAAGACCCTACCTCTAAATATCATCCCTGTGGTAGATGGAGTTTTAACATATAAATTTGGGGAAACATTCAATCTATAATAAATAATATTGCCGTATTATGTAGGACAGTGGTCCCCAGATGCTCCTATGATAACCTAATGCCTGATCTGAGGTGTAGCTGAGGCAGTGATGCTAGCACTGGGGAGTGGCTGCAAATACAGATGAAGCTTGGTTCACTCGACCTGCCGCTCACCTCCTGCTTTGTGCCCAGTTCCTAATAGGCCATGGACTGGTACCAGTCCATGGCCCACGGGTTGGGGACCCCTGATGTAGGAAGGAGGAAAATCTAAGAGTAACTTAATAAAAATAATACCTTTGTATCCTTCATTAGACTTCATTCTCATTTCAGTGGCTCCACAAACAAGCAGAGGCACGAAGAGTGATGAATACTGATATTCCTGAACTTTGTGATTTAAAAGAAGAAGAAAAGAACCCAGACTGGTTGAAGGATAAAGGAAAGTAAGTTGTTTGAACTCTGGCCATGAGATTTTTTTCTGTAGTCATTAGTTTTTATCACATTTCCTAGATATCTTGACGTATATGTTTGTGTGTATAGTTCTTGGGGAGAGATAATGCAAATAAGCAAATTAGGTAGGCAGGGCCTCATAGTAATAAGTCAGGTCATATGACAACTAAATAAAGCTCTTATTTTTATTTTATATTTAAATGTCATAGAAATGAAAAATATCACATCTTTTGGATTGGCTATTAAAATCCCTTTTAAATCACATTTAACATAGGTCCTTCTTAATACCACCCTTAAAAACTTATTTCTTAAAAACTAGAGCTTCTTTTGATTATTTATAACCATCTTTTAAAAAATTATCAAATTATCTTATAAATTGCAATTTTATATCCAGGCAATCCTGAGCTCCTTTTAATGATTAGTAGGAGTTTCAAGAGGAAGAGAGAGAAAAGCGTTCATTTCAGGCAGAAGAGACAGTGTGAGCAAAAGCTCAGAGACAAAAAATAATGTGATATGTAGATTAAGAATTATAGGTAGTTTATTTTTTGCTAAAATATAGAATTTGAGTCTAGAAATAGTGACAGATAAGCGTAGAAAAATAGGCAAGGGCATCGTGTGCTCTATTAAGATTCTTATATTTTACTTTCTAAGGTGGGGGGAAAATGTGTTGCAGAAACAAAGGCAAAGGCTTTGAACTATGGCATTGTCATACGGCTGGAGAGAAAGGCAATTTGAGAAATATTTAGGAGGTAAAATAGCAGAACTTCTTGATTGATTATTGGGGAATAAGAGAGTAGTAGTTGTGTGTTTCTAGTTTGAGTGGTTGATTGCCTGATGCCACCAACTGAATTAAAGAATACTAGAAGAGGGACCAGTTAGGAGGAAATGCAGGTAGGTTTAGTTTTGAATATGTTGAGTTTGATCTGTCTCTGGGTCAATCTGGGTAACAGTGTGCAGCAAGTGTAAAACTTGGGAGAGACCAGTACTGGAGATATAGATTTGGAGGTTATCGGTGTTTATATAGTAGTTGAATTTATAAGAGTAGGTGAGATGTCCAAAAGAGTGTGTAGATCAGGAGAGTAGTGGCCTGAGGCTAAAACTCTGTGACCTGCCATCATTTGAAGGTCTGGCAAAAGAAAATAGTACACAAAAACAGTCTGAGAAGCCAATGGAATAGAAACTTTAGGATAGACTCTGTTATGTTTTGTTCTTTAAGAACAGAAAAAGTTCGAATAGATTTGCAGATGACACAGAAGAGATGATTAAAATTGTCTCCAAGGAGAATGGAGAAAATTGGGTCAAGGCCAAGGGTGGATGAATTATCTTGATTTTATTTTTGTTTTTTCTCTTGTTAAAAGTTAAATTCATTTAAAATTTTTATAAAAAAATGTGTCTTTTGAAAAAGTATACAGTGCATATATAAAATGAAAGTCCACCTTGGTTTTTACCCAGTCCACCAGCCTCCTGCTTGTCCTGTCCCCTAGCTGTATCCACTGTAAATCATCCCTTTAAGTGCATTTTCTTATCCTGAAGTTGCTATTGTCACAATTTATGTATAGTTCGTGATTGTTTACAAGAGCTTTCATATACTATCTATCTTTCATATACTATACTATTTACATATACTATCTCATTAAATCCTCACAACTATAGTTGGGCAGGACCCCCTGCTTTTGCATTCATTTAACAAAAGTTTATTAAGAAACTAACAGCTTTACATAAAATAGCTCATTTATTTCCTTTAACAGTCGGACTAGTTGGAGATTATTATTTTTATCCCCATTTTTCAAATGTGGAAACAGGGCTAGAAAGGTTAAAAAGCTTGCCTAAGATGGTGGTTAATAAATAGAACCAGGATTCAATCTCAGGTCAATATGATTACAAAGCTTGTGTTCCAGCTACTACTGCACATCTCATAAATGAATAAAATCTTCTTCCTGTCCTTTTATTGCAATTGATTAGCTTTAGCAAAAGCAGCCCAAGTGATGTGGCTATGAATTGCTCCTCCTTGCAGCACAAGAGTACTGAAGTGTGCATTGCTGAGTGGGCTGTCCTGTTGAATTAGTTACTTTGCTCTAGAAAATGTCGACAGATTAATTTAAAATAGACAGAGATACTTTGTTTTCTGAGATTAGAGGAAAGAAAGTGAAGACAAGTGTGAATCTAGATAAGTTTCTAACAAGAAAAATTGTTTAGTAGGTACTGTTGAGGGGTCTTCTAGGTAGGGAACGTTTTTTCACAAAGATGCCAGTCAGTACAGCTGTGTGATTTATCTCCTCTAGTGTTCATTCTTTTGGATTTAAGAGTAGATCATGAGCCAGGATTGAAGTTTTGACTGGCAAGTACGTTAAAGGCTAGTAGTAGTGCAAGGAGCCATGGAAAAATAGCTCAGATTTTTAGCCATGAAGTCCAGGCTTGGTTAGAAAGGAAGAGAGGTCATGATGGACCCAGTGGACTAAGAGAAAATGGAGCAATTAAGAAACTAGAGGGCACTCTAAGGTTGAAAGTCGAATATGAAGAGAAAGTTGGCAGAATAGACAGTTCTTTACAGTGGCTAGGATTCCATAGTTTGATGTTCCTGAGATAGTGCAGTTCAGATGATGGCAGAATCCAAGGTGTGGCCTTAGGAGTGGGTAGCAAAAGCAGAGTTGAAGGGAAAGTAATCTGAATTAAGGGGTTCCAGGTATTTCAAAGCTAAATTGATAAATGGGTCATATACATAAACCTTAGAATCTTCTGGAATTATGGCAGAAGTTGGGATGGAGACATATTGGGAGCCGGATTTTAAAGCCCTCAGTGAATAAGAGAAGAGTAATTTTAAAAAGCCAGATGACAGTGACTAGTCAGCTCTAGAGTAAAGATGTCAGGAGTCCCAAAGGATGATGACTTTCACGTAAAGGGAGAGTTACAGATAAGTGAGTCTGGAGAATGCCTGTTCCTGTGGTCTTGGGTCCCTGATGTGGGTGGTGGGGAGATCTCTGTGGAGAGGAGGGGTAGAGATAGCATTGCCCTCAGGGCAGAAATCATTTTGTGGAAAATTTGAGAGTATAGGAAAGGATTGGGATGGAAGGTGGAGTTAGTTATGGCAGAACAAGGGACAAGAAAATACAAAGGAGTAGAGGGAGATGAGAGTAGGAAAGGCCAGCAAAGAGGGACTTTAACATGAGGAGAAGGGACATTTATGCTTTTTGATCAGTGCTCAAAGATAACAGCATTGATGAACGTGGTTAGAAAGTCCTTTGGCACAGGTGTTATGGTGCTGGGACTGGCTAAAGATCCTAGGCAGTGTTAGTCTGATCTTATTTCTGACATACTGATGACGTGATTTGGATTTAAGAGTGGAAAGAGCAGATTAAATCATTGAGGCAGAGTTGGAATTTTGACTGACAAGTACAGCAAAAGTGAGTGTGTGTGTGTGTGTGTGTGTGTGTGTGTGTGTGTGTGTGTGTAAATATAAAATTGACTGCTGGCAAAAACAATTGGTAGCAACTTAATGCAAAATGTACTTTGTGGCGGGCAGGCAGGCAGGCATGACTGGTAGATTGTAATTACTTTAGTCTCTCTTGTTTTTGTACCATTTTTACTTACAGTCTTCAATTAGGCAGAAAAAGAAAGAGAAGCAAAATAAAAGGAGAGGAAGAGAGTTAAATGGGGAGTGATGGAAGAAAACTTAGTAACTAATGACACCTAGAGAAGCAGAGCAAAGTACGGTTAATCATAGTACCAAGTTCAGACAGATAAAAGGAAAGGTAAGAATTGTTAGAGAGAAATATATCCTCTCTAGCAATATAATACAGTACAGAAGATAGAAGCAGACATAATAGAACTTATTCAGGAGCAGCGTGTTGAATTTAAGCCAAAGGATGAAATACTTTCATCTCCAGAGGCTTTGTTTCATGGTAGCCTTCTATATTTCCACAAGCAAAAACAGTCCAGTTGTCCTTATTGTACTTAAACCTATGGGACACTTGTTTCATATAAGGGTAGGAGTGGGCATGCCTTTCAAAAAAGCAATAGCTTGAGAAAATTGTTTAGGGGGTTTTATCTACTCAAAAAGAAGCTCATAGCAAAAGCCGCAAAATGGTTTCATTTTTCTTTACCTAGCTGTCCAGTGCTGTGTCTTAGTTTTAAATGCCAAATCCACCTTTCAGGAAAATACATAATCTTAAGTAATTTTATTTGATCACAAAAGCATTTTACCTTTTCCAGGTAACATTATATACCAGATAGCTTTTTACTGAGAATATCTCACATAAGACAGAGTCTAGGTGCTCTTATTTAGGTACATTCGGGTATGATGTTATTTAACACTCTTATATGACTCAGAAACTGTAAATAACTTTAATAGCTACCCTTCCAGACACTTGTAATCATATAAGGGAGATAGACCATTGTTCTGTCCTACTGACATTACTCTGTGCTTGATTTTTAGCATTTTTTTTTTTTTTTTTTGGAACAACCCTATCTTAACTCCAGACTTTTTAAGTGTCACACTAGGACCACTTGAATCCCATCTGCATACCTCACCTTCTACAGCAAATTCTAATGTTAGATAGGAGGGAATTAAGGATGAATATAATTCTACACTCTAGCACCCGGTATCATAGTACTGTTACATAAGATTGCCTACCCTAGTTTTAGTGTCTGCATTTTCTTTTTATTCTCTTGGCGTGAGTGCCAGATTTTGTAGCCTGACTAATATCCCACTTCTTTTAAGAGTAAAACTCTGCTTTGATTTTGCTCTTCCTCTTGCCACCCAGCTTCTGAACCCCAGCTTTGTATGTAGGAGCCTGCTATTTGCTGATAAACTAACCTAGTACCAACTTGTGCCAGTCTGAATTTCTATATGCTTGCTGTTTCTGAATTTTCTGTGGCTAGATTCTATCTGCCTGTCTGAGTGTTCTTTTACTTCTTGTTGGATTTTTTAAAAAATTAAAATTATTGGGGTAACATTGGCTAATAATATTATGTAATTTTCAGGTGTACAACATTATAATTTGACATCTGTATACTCTATTGCGTGCTTACTACACAAAGTCTAGTTTCCCTCATATTGAACTTTTTGATGCTGATTGTTGACCACCTGTTACCATCTTCTCCCAACATGACACACAGTTCTACTTGCTAAATTGAATTTCTTTCTAGTACTTTGGTTTAGGTTCATGCCCTGGCAAGAACTATGACAGGTTAGCTACCAGTTTCATGGATGCTGGCAGAAGTCAGGAGACTCTTGGGTCAGAGATAAAAGGACTTTATTATTCAAGGCACAGCAAGCAGTAAGAGCTTCATGTTGGTTCCCTTTGACCTTCAAGTCTCATGGGGATACGTATGGTACTCACAGTAGGTTTGCACCACAGCTGAGAAGGCTAATCTTAAGGAGCACAACTTTTTTAAGATTATAGCCAAACCTGGCCAACCTTTGCCTCGAAAGGAGATATTGTCTGCTCTTTGCCTCAGAGGGAGACGTATCTTTGTCTTCCAAGGCTGTGTACCCTACAAATATCTTTGAAAACGTAATCCCAAACAAAAGCTGTCAGTGCATCTGACATAAGACATGCAGGAACATAGGAGACCCATGGAGAAATGTCTTCCAACAGCCCCCTTGTACCTGCCTACTTTTAGTACAGATCTGCCAAATCTGCCTTCCTCTTTATAGAGATAAAACTTTATAGAGATAAAACAGTTTTCTTATGCTGCTTTTATCTGACTTAAAGAAGTTTAGATTCTGTATTCTAAGATGATGTCTTTGATGTAATTATAATTTTATTCAGTTGCTTGTTTGTATGCATTTCACAGCCCATGACATTCTGTTGCAGTGCAATACTTATTATGGCCCGTCTTGTCATTTTGTTTAGTATGCAGTATCTTTTTCCTCCTTCCATCCTGAGTGCTAAATTGTAGTGGTTGATGTGCCTTTACTAAGGCATGCTGATAACAGCTTTAGAAACTTTTGAGATACCCAAAAATGTTTTCTACCCACACTGGCTGCTGAAAGAGACAAGGACTTTCAAAGTCCTTTGAGGAGCATGTGGCTGCTACAGTTCATATTGCAGAGAAAACAGAGACATGCTGTCTTCTGTTGGAATATGCATTGCTCCCTGCACCTGTTCCGTTTCTAAGACTCACTAATTCTGATTTCTCCTCTTTTCTGCCCCTTTCTTTACTTTGATCCACTTTGCTTTGTTCTTATCACTCCTGCCTCTTGCTGCTTCTCCTACACTCACCTCTTATATAAAATGTTTCTCCCTTCTGGCCATTGCCAGTCAGAATGTTTCTTTCTTTACAGAGGCAAACTAATCAGTCATCATAAAAATGAGTGTTTGCAATTGTGCATGTCTCTGTTGCTCTCCTAGTACATGCAATCAGTACTCTATGTGTTGAATGAATGAGTACTTTTGCATAATTCTTTTCTCTGGCATTGCCTTATTTGGAGCATCAGGGTAGACTCAATGCTTATTAGCTTCTTTGTTTAAATTAAATATTCAAAGGTCACTGTTCTTTAGACAAAGGTTTAATTTTTTTTTATTTTTCCTTTCAAACTTGGCTATCTCTGTGTTCAGAACCATTTTGAAAGTCATACAGGAAATATTTGTTTTGTAGTGGTATTGAACTTTAAAGAATGTAATGGTTGTTTGGATTTATATTTTAATATATATGCAAACATTAAAAAAAATTTAATATTTTATATTTCTTGCTATTGTACCTCCTACAGTGGTTCTTTTAATACTGTTCATTGTAGCTTTTCTTCCCTTAGCACCAGGGATAATTTTTCTGTTAAAACAGTTGCATTGTAAAACTGTAAACTTATATTTTCAAGATGAAAAATGGAACTGTCCTCCAAATGTGTATGTTAATACAAGGTTTGTACAGGCATATAGACCAATGGAATAGATAGCCTAGAAATAACCACACATGTATGATCGAATGATTTTCAAGAAGGGTGCTAAGACTATCCAGTGGAGAAAAGACAGTTTTTTCAACAAACGGTGTTGGAAAAACTGGATATCCACTTGCAAAAGAATGAAGTTCGACCCTTACCTAACATCACATACAAAAATTAACTCAAAATGGATCAAAGACCTGAACATAAAAGCCGAAACTGTAAATTTTTAGAAGAGAACACAGGATGCTTCATGACATTGGATTTGGCAATATTTTGACTTTTGACATTAAAAGCACAGGCAACAAAAGAAAAAAAGTAAAACGGAATGCATCAAAATTAAAAACTTAGGTACATCAAGAACGCTATCAACAGAGTGGAATAAAGAAAGTGTAATCATATATGATAAAGGGTCAGTATACAGAATATAAATATAAACAACAGTAAAAATAGTATATCTATATTTATTAACATGGAAAGATGGTCATATTGTTGAATTTTTTATAAATGTCCTTAAACAGCAATATATAATACTGAGTAGTAAAAGTAGGGAGATAGAGAAAGAGGGTCAGTGATAGAGAGACTGGTATGTTTTTCAAGATAAAATATTTTTTAAAGGTAGCTACTTTTGGTCAATAAGATGGGAAAGGAAGTGACTAGGAGGTTTCAGGTAAAGGTTTTCTTGCTCTAAGGAGCATATATCAGAAGATACTGTCCTGTTTTCTTCTAATAAATACTGTCTCTGAATGTGGCACCTTAAACTATGCAACCATCTTGTACCCATGAGGAAAACCAACCATAAAATGAAATAGCTGCTAGCTGCTGAGGACAGTAGAAGGGAGAATGGAAGGAACCTGTGGCCTTGATAACATCCTCGAACTGCTAGTTATACTGGGCACAGAGCCTTTTCCTCTGGACTTTTCAAACATGAGATAATTTATTTCCTTACTTGTTTAAGCCAGTTTGAACTGGGGTTCTGCTACTCTTGGTCAGAAGCATACTAGCTGATATGAAGCATTTCAGAAATGTAAACTATTCCCATGGAATTAGCTTTTCTAGTTTGTGCAAGTTATTTTAAATTTATGTTTAGGTTTAGGTTAGATGTCACAGTTGTGTCATTTTGCCTTTTACTTAGGATTTACTGCTTTTGTGGGTCTGCTTTTGATTTCATCACGTTTAATATTCTAGAACTATAAAGTATGCAGTACAATTGACTGGAAATGAATACAAAGTATTATTGTATGGCTCTTTTATACTTAGCAAAGTATTTTCTGTTTTCTTTACGTTTATGTATTTTTCAAAATTCTTGAAATTATATACAGGAAACAAAAGAAACTTAACATTTTAAGTAAATCTTTTAGTTATGTACATCTGTTTAGGACAATTTTGGAAGATTTAAACTGAAAGAGTATATGTATTGGGATGCTTTTATTTGCAAGTAACCAGAAATCCAATTTAAACTGACTTTATGTTAAAAGAAATTTATTGGCTAATATAATTAAAAAACTAAAGGTGCATTGCATTTCAGGTAAAGCTTAATCCAACAGCTTAACTGTGTCACTGAGGACTCAGTTTCTTTGTCTTTTTATTCTTTTCATAATTCTGTAGTATCAGCTTTAATCTAGTGCTAGCTCCTCCTATGGTGTTAAAAATGGTCAGCAACAATTTGAGCTATGTGCTTTCTTCATTTGTATCCAGCAGAGGAGGTTTTCCCAATTTTTCATTCTCTAACTTTGGAAACAAATTCACAGGCTTCATTCTGAATAGCCCAATCTAGGTTATAAGCCAATCTTTGAGTCAGTCATTGTAGCAGGGAGGGTGGAAATATACCTACTGGCTTAAACTACTGATGGCTAGTTATCCTTAAAGGTGGGAGCGAAGTCACGCTGATTATATTCTGACGTGTGTGGAGTCAGTACAGCCTACATGTCCATTGTACAGGAAATAGAAAAGAAAGTGAACCATCCCCTTTGCTAAATATCATTAGATATTATGTCTGTGTTTCTGTTTCAATGTTATATTGTTTTTCTTTCTCTTGTTTTTGTCTCACTAGCAAATTATTTGCAACAGAAAACTATTTGGCAGCTATTAATGCATACAATTTAGCCATAAGACTAAATAACAAGATTCCACTATTGTATCTGAATCGGGCTGCTTGCCACCTAAAATTAAAAAATTTACACAAGGCCATCGAAGATTCTTCTAAGGTATATATGTATATATATAGATCTGTATCTATTTATGTATGATGCTTTAAAATTGTTATCTTCTTGTTTATTGATTTAAATGATACCCTTTGTTAAATTCAAATAATTGAAGATTATTTAAATAATGAAGGATTTTTGAGAGTCATCTTGCTTATTACAGCTTTTTACTGAAAAAAAAAATTTGTTTATTGAATGGACAAGGAACTGATGTTTCTTAGACTTCAAGTTAGATTAGAAATCCCCTACCAGTGCTACTGTTTTGCCTTGGTATATCAATTGATGTTCACAAGGAAATTAGTAAATGGTTATCAGTTTGTGCTCACCCTTTTCCTTATTAAAGTTTTGTAGACTTAATGCAAGGTAGAAAGAGAACACTTGGTATCACTACTACTTGCACTGTAAAAGGCTATCTCCATAAACATTTTCTCATTTTCAGAGTAACTTAGTATATCCTATTTTCCATTACTAATAACATGTTATTAACTTAAACTTCTAGTTGTTTTCTTCTTTTCATATCAAAGTAGCTTGTTTTAAGGGAAAATCACATACAAAGTCTCTTATATGGCTCCTTGAGATTGAGGACATGGAGAAACAACCAAGTCCTCATTAAGCTAATGAAGATCTGACAGTATTTTTTATGATCCAGTTTTCCTTTTACTAGCACAATTTCATGCACAAATATTTATCGAATAAATGAATAAACTGAATTATCTAATTTGAATATAAAAGACAACAAATGCTTTTTAATCATT